AAAATGGAATTTCTTTGAGGATAAGGACAAGGGGTCTGATTCATCTTGGTGAGGTGAGATTGATTAATGTAAGATCGATCGAAAATATTCCTTATCGATCGAAGATTGCTAATTTCCACCACTTTGCTTCCACTTTGCTCTATTCTTTCATTCAGTTTGAGATTGCTTCTTTTATACTCTAATTTGATTGAATTGACTTATTTTGGGGATAAGCATCTGAAAAAGGGTAATAACACGATAGTCTAAAACGGGAAAGTAAGATAGATAAAGGTTCTAGAATACTCAAGCTTAAGGGGTTTAAATGCGCACTTTTCAGCGCTCATTAGAAGGCTATGAATTAATTCAACTTTTGCGTTATCAACCTCAATCCCTCTTTTAGAGATAATGTGTCCCAAGACAATCCCTTTTTGTACCATGAAGTGACTCTTTTCTCAACTTAAGATCAGATTGGTATCTTTGCATCTTTAAAGCACAAGTGATAGATTATGTAGACAAGAGTCAAAGGAAAATCCAAAGATAGAAAAATCATCCATGAATACTTCAAGAAATTTTTCGACTATATAAGAAAATATGGATATCATGCATCTTTGAAAAGTGGCCGGCGTATTACAGAACCCAAAGGGCATGCGACAATAAGTGAAAGTTCCAAAAGGACAAGTGAAGGTAGTCTTTTCTTGATCTTGAGGATCTACAGCCACTTGGTTATAGCTAGAATAACCATAAAGAAAACAATAGTAACTTTGGCCAGCTAACCTTTCTAGGATTTGATCAATGAATGGAAGTGGAAAATGATCTTTCCTAGTTGCAGAGTTTAATTTCCGGTAATCTATACACACACGCCAACCAGTGGTGGTGCGTTGTGGCACAAGTTCTCCAGTTGAATTTTCAACAACGGTGAGGCCGGACTTCTTTGGAATAACTTGAGTTGGGTTTACCCACTTGCTATCTAAGATGGGGTAAATGATTCCCGCATCTAATAGCTTGATTACCTCTTTTATGACAACCTCCTTCATGTTAAGATTCAACCGACGCTGCACCTCTTGGGAAGGTTTGGCGTCCTCCTCCAAAAGAATGTGGTGCATGAAATAAGGGGTCAATTCCTTTTAAATCAACCACCAACCAGCCAATAGCTTCTTTGTGCTCTTCTAGTACCGTTAAAAGGCTATTTTCTTGGTCTTTGGAAAGATCCGATGCAATGATGACCGGAAGAGTCTTGTTCACACCAAGAAATACATACTTGCGATTAACCAGGAGTGGCTTTAACTCAAGTTGAGGTGGAGATTTCAGTGAAGGAACATGAGGAGTGCTCGAAATTAATGGAAGAGGTTCCTTTGGCACTTTCCTAGAAGGAAAGTCCGAGATTTCATTGGCATCAAGTAAAGAGTTGATTTCACGAATGGATTGATCAATATCATAATTTTCGAAGTCAAAATGAGCCAAGCAAGTTTCAAGAGGATCTTGACTTAAAATAAATGGGAGAGATTCTTCGACCATTTCATCGATAATGTCAAGAGACAAACACTCATATTTCCCTTGGATATTGAGAAGCACTAAAGATGTTGAGCTTCACCTTCATATTTCCAAAAGAAATATCCATCACCCCGGTTCGGCAATTAATGGAAGCATTAGCCGTGGTTAAGAAAGGCCGACCAAGGATCACAGGAATATGTTTTATTGGATTATGGACTGGTTCAGTATCTAGGACAACAAAGTCTACCGGGAAGTAGAATTTGTCCACCTTGATGTGCACATCCTCAATGATACCACGAGGTTGTTTTACGGATCTATCCGCAAGTTGCAAGACAACCGAAGTGGATTTTAGTTCTCCCAAGCTAAGTTGCAAGTAAACTGAGTAAGGAATTAGATTTATACTTGATCTTAAGTCAAGGAGGGTCTTTTCTATCACATTATCTCTAATGACACATGAGATTGTCAGGGCACCCGGATCCTTAAACTTTAGAGGTGTATTATGCTGAATGATAGCACTTACTTGCTCAGTTAACCTCACCTTCTTAGGAATATTGCTCTTAGAAGTGCGTTTTTTAGTACACAAATATATATATATATATATATATATATATATATATATATATATATATGTATGTATGTATATTTCTTTATTTATCTTTGACTCATGTTAACTTTGTTGTGTGTCTGTATTACATATCTTATACAAGTAATTTTTTTTAAATGATTCCAGTGACTTGTTGTGGGCCTGCTACTGGTTAGATGACATGTAACTATAGATTTCTATAATTAGTTTGCTAGTAGCATATTGGGAATCAAATTGGGATGATGGTGATGTAGTGGGTTTGTGTAACCACTTACAATCATAGGACAAAGTGAATGAGAGAGAGACCCAGATGCGTTTTTTACTGGGTTCAATTCACTCTCTAAATCTGTTATTTTGGGTTCACTCCTCTCTTTTCCATAGAAATTAAATATTATTTTTAATTAATTATTTTTTTAAGGGATTTTGACTTAATTAAATTAGAAAAAAAATAGTAATCATATTTCAAAATTACAGAAAATTCTAGATTACTCTTTTTAAGCATATTGAACTCAATTGTGATGCAATCCTGATTTTTAGATGATGTTTAGATAATTTAACTAAATTAAAACTCGAAAAACTATTAGTTTTCAGCACTTAAATGGAGAGTACGGAAAACTATTAAAGGTTTGACTCTGAAATGTTATAGGGATTTATATCTAATATTAGAGTGTGTCCAGAATTTCTATACTCTCACTAGTTGGGTCTTTAGGGTTCTGTTTTTAAATTAGAAATGTATTTATGTGTATTACTTATTAATTTGAATTATTAATTAATAATGTCTTTCATAATTCACCATAATTAATAATTAATGGATGAATTTGGATTAGTCAGAGGGGTAGTCAGAGACTGACCCTATGATGTCTTTTTGGGTATGGCCAGGGACTTGCCTATTTGGGATTGCACTACCCTTTTATTATGGCCATGGGCTTAATGTACCTTTATCGTGAGGACGTGATTCGAGATTATCTGGGGAGTAGACGTACAATCCAGCCACACGTGTGTTTTCAATAGTCCGGGACTATACGATTCATATCATTTTATTGGATGGGAGCTCGGGGCTTATGTGAGATATGTGGATTTATTAAATGTAAATGATAATTATTAATTGATTTTATATTTATTAACTGGAGTTATGCATCTTTGATTAATGCACTTATTTGATTTGTTTATATATATGGGAAGACAAAGTAGGGTTAGCTTGCTGAACGATGATTGTGTTTAGCATTTCTTGCTGAGCTTGTGAGCTCGCCCTATTATCACATTTCAGGTACATGTTGAGATGAACATGATGGGATCACATGACGTCGATGGATTTTAGCTCGTTAAGCTTTTATTTGCTTAGCTTAGCTTTATCTATTTTAATCATTGTAACAAGGATTATGTTATTTGTGGAATAGTATTGAGTTGGTCCAGAGAACGTGGATTTATTTAGGCATCGTTATTGTATCTCGGAAGTTTTTATATAATAAATTGTTAGATGGAGGTTCACCTTGATTTATTATTTATTGTGGATGATTGTTGAGAATTGATGCAAGTTAAACTTCAAATTTGATATAAGGGACAAAGGTTCTTGTGTTAAAATTTGGGGTGTGACACTCATAATAATACCTAAATATGGGTGTGAACCAACAAATGGTCTTTCTTTCTATAAGCATAAATATATAATACAATATTTACCTCAAAATAAATAAATCAAATCCTCCATTCTATGATGAAAATAAAATAAAATAACAACTTCAATTCTTTCTGGCCTTTAATGCCAACTCTACCACCATCAAGTACCTGAAATAATAAGAATGAGGTGAGTTCAAAAGCTCAGCAAGATCCCTGCTCAGCAAATAATAACCTTACCTCACCTCGATAAATAAAGGCACATACACGTGGGTAAGAAATGAAATCAACCTCTCATATAAGGTAAGGAACAAATCCAACAATTGATACCTTGCAAGATGGACTCATCTTTCAATCAGTAAAAATTAACCACTACACCTCCAAATATTGGTACGTAGTCCAAATAACATATAAAGGGAACTCCAAGACTAATATAATAAATTAAAATTAAATTCCTATAACGTCATACTTGATTATTATATGAATATAACTGTACAATAGTCCACCACAAAATAAATCTCTAAATCATTTGAAATATATAGAAAAATAGGAATCACTCACCTAGATCTCCGAAGAAATTTACATATAAAATCGACCATTATCAACAGAAAAATACTCAATAGATCTAGCCACAGAGTAAGATTAAACTTACCGATTAAACTTACCGTTTAAACTTTTATCAGTTTCATGATCCAACACAAATGCTCTTCCAATTTTGCTCTGTATATTCTTCTGTCCAAATTAATAATTATCAGATAACAAAATTACATATAGAAAACTATACAATCGCGTGGGTAAAAATACTTTGATAGTAATACCTTCAAGTTATCACCATTTGTAATTCATTCTACAGCAGTTATGAAACCTTCTTTATTGTAGACTAACCATGGTATAATACCCAAATAATATCTTCAATTAGAAACCGCCTTGATCGTAGGCTAATCCTCAGAATAATATCACGTAACGTAATAAAACATATTATCATAACATATAACATTATCCTAATCCAAACACCCGTATTAAACACCACGTAACTATTTACGTTTCCATTATACTATCATACAAAGTACTAAAATATCAAGGTTGTTACATTCTACACTTTTTAAACAAATTTCGTCCTCAAATTAATACAACCTATTGTTTTAACAAAAATTCCAATCAAAACACATTGAGTAAACCTATATATAATATATTCTTCCCAAATAGATAACAAACATCAATCTAATAGACCACGTTAACCCTCTAGAAGTTTAATCCACTATGTAAAATATTCACAAGGCTATACAAGACTATTTAAAGTCTCCAATATAACTAATCAAGCCTAAATAAAATATGGGCTGTCACAATCTCCACCCCTTTTATAAATTTCCTCCCCGAAATTTATAATTCCATTGGTGTTCTTAGTGTTATTTTGCTAAATTAGGTATTTTGCTACAAAATCAACATTCAATGCTCCATGATCCTCGAAATTTATAATTCCATTGGTGTTCTTAGTGTTATTTTGCTAAATTAGGTATTTTGCTACAAAATCAACATTCAATGATCAACTCCATGAATAGTTTATGCAGTTGTTATTCATGGAATTATATGTTATTCAGCCCGTTTATGAAGTAAATAGTGTGACCCTATAGTATATTAACACGTGCGGTGGTCTTGCATGTCAGGTTCATCGATGGCTTTACCAGAGGACGACGCGTTACACTCTCACTCTCTCTCCAGTCACCTAGCTTCTTGTCATTGCTCAAAGCCTGAAACCGATTCTCATTATCTACACCACAGGCTTCCCATTTTCAAACCCTAGACTTCTCTCACTATCTCTCCCCCTTCTTCCCTGATATCTCGTCTCTTCTCTCTCCTCTTCGTCTTCTTCTTCTTCGCTGACAGGTGCGTCTCTCTCTCTCCTTATTTTTGTGAACTTACTGGTGTTTATATGTTTATGTGTGTTTAATTAATTTATTAATTGAAGTTGAATTAAATTATTCTTCCTACTGATGTATTTTGTTAATTATTAATTTCCCTCTATAGGCTCTCAACTCTCTCATCGCTTTTTTGGTAATTCATTCTTTAATTAGTAATTACATAACAATTTTGTTGTAATTTTTTTGCTTTGTTGTTGCTGCTGCTTCTGCAAATCTAAAAATTGTTATTCTTATAGTGAAGGAGTAGAAAATTGATGCATATTTAAATTATACTGAAATTGAATTATTTAAATGATTACATTTTCTTGTATCAAACATCAATTGAATTATTTGATAAAAAATTGATAATTTATTTTGTAAAAGTGTGTATTACTGTTGCAAACTAATATAATAACGCATTTCCTAATATTTGAATGACGTTAACATTTTCTTGACACAATTTTTTACCTTTTGAATTTTTTTATTTTTTATTTTTTTTTTATTATTATTATTTTTTTTTCTGGATGGTGTATTGGTTTATTTATTCCTCTATGTTGCTTATAGTTGTTCCAAAAACTAATAAAATTTGAGCTAATTTAATGGAAAGCATGGATATTTAGGTGTTACTATGCCTATTTGCCGAGTCAAAAGCAAAATTGAAGAAGCCGAAGCTAAAAACTTAAATCTCACACTGAGATAATAACGAAGCAAAAAATTCCAAAAAAAAGTTACTATTATATTTCTAACTCAATTCGTTATTTCAAGTTGCCTTTTCTCCTCAATCTTATAACCCTTTATAGGAAGTTACAACCGGCAAAAATTTAATTATGGGGAATTTTCTTGTAGATTATAAAACACTAAAAATAATCCAATAAATTTTATTCATGATATACATTGAGTAATACATCAATGAAGAATACATCAATATGAATTTATGACATAAACATAAAATTAATATTTAGAATATAACACAATTATAACAAATATGAATTTACATTGAATATAACATAAGAGTGAAATTCTCAACAATTATAATTTAAACAAGCGTAATTGAGCAAGACATAGAGTTGTAGAATTTATAAAACACAAATAATCTCAATAATATATTATTAATTATAATAAAAATTAAGGAAAACAATAATAATAAACTTAGTACGATAGAACTAACCTGGATAATGAGAGGTATGTAAGTGTTGTCCTAAAGTCATATGGTCTCTCTACGTGCAGGTGATAGTTGTTCAATATGGCTTTAAGATACAAATCATATTCGCCAGTGGTCTTCTTCAGCACGTTCAAAGAGGGATAAGGTTGGACTAGTCTCGTCTTCAAAGTTGCCCCAAATACAATACAAAATACTCCCATAGAATTAAGGGAAAGAGATAGAGAAATAGCTTTCTAAGATTAGTATACACCACTCTCAACCTTGTGTCTCATACAAAGTATGCGTATTTGGTTTTTTTTTTTCTGGATGGTGTATTGGTTTATTTAGTAATTACATAACCATTTTGTTGTAATTCCTTTGCTTTGTTGTTGCTGTTGCTGCTGCAAATCTAAAAATTGTTATTCTTATAGTGAAGGAGGAGAAAATTGATGCATATTTAAATTATACTGAAATTGAATTTTTTAAATGATGTTAACATATTATTGTATCAAACATCAATTGAATTATTTGAAAAAAAATTGATAATTTATCCTGTAAAAGTGTATATTACTGTTGCAAACTAATATAATAACGCATTTCCTAATTTTTAAATTTTTTTTTTTCTCTCCTAATATTTAAATGATGTTAACATTTTCTTGACACAACTTTTTTACCTTTCGAAAAGAAAAAAAAAAAGCTTTTTTTTTTTTTTTTTTTTTCTCTGGATGGTGTATTGGTTTATTTTATTCCTCTATGTTGCTTTTAGTTTTTACTAATGCTTTTAAATATGAAGCGTATCATTGCATACGCCTGATCCTGTTCTAAATCATAATACACTATGAACGAATTGTTACTCTAGTTCTAGACTGAGGTGCATCTTTTCACTCTAAATCATGGAGAACTATGTCAGTGATGATTTCGGGAAGATTTGATGATGAACCTTTAAAAAACAAAATGTATCTAGGGGGTGTTGAGTATCAACTAGGAAAAAAAAAATTGTAAATCTAGTTCTGGGTTAGTGACTGCAAATTGGTGACTGATTCGGTGACTGCAAATCTCAGCTGGAACTCCTAAGCCCAACAATAAAGGAAAATGAAACTTGAGAAAGTATTAAGTTTCTATTAAGTTTCATTTTCATGTAGTTGATTATTTTAAACTCAACAAAATGAGATTAAGAAAAAATGGAAAGAAAAACTTTACAAGTTTGGAGAAACAATTTTCTACTTATAAAACAGTGAGTGAATGTAAGAAATCAACAAAAATGGTCTGTCCCTTCCTCTCTCTTTCCTCTTTCCTTCCTCCTTATACCCACCTGTTTTCTTTTGTTTTTTCCCCCTTAAAACACCACCAAATATATTTAAATAACTGAGAGGGAACAAACACTTTCGGAATTTTTTTTTGATTAGTTTGAATGTCAAAGTTTGCTAAGTAATTAGCTGCCTTATTTCCTTACTAAGAGTAGAAGATATTTATATTCCAAATTATTCTTTGTCGTAATTTACTGTTAAAACAATGTACTGTTATTCTTATCTCTCTCTCTCTCTCTGGTCAACATGGTGGACAAGATTGATGTTTGATACAAGTGTTTTTGGCAATGATGATTAAATCTTTCTGTAGGTTTTCGATTTGTCATATAATCTATTTTTATCTCTCTTGTTTTCATAGGAGGCTTCATGGATGATCCAAAGCTGCTAGTTGTTGCCATTGATGGCGATATGCAAGAGTTTAGTTTTGCCCAAAAGGGTCTTCAAGTCACGTGGGAAACTGTCATCAATGATATAATCAATTCAGATTATTGTTTTGCATTTGAGGTGAGAGATAGCTACTATTATAATGCAAAAAAAGACAAGAAGGTCGCTGTTTTGAAGTTTCAGGCTTCAAGAAAATGTGCTTTTATTTATGGGTGTGGTACCACAAACTATGATATTAAGTATCGTGTGTGCCTTGATGAGTCCGAGCTCAACCCAATATCTACTGCTACAGAAGTTAACGTTGGATCTTTGACTTGCTATTTATTATGCCTTCCCAATGAAATAAAACTGAAGATTGTTGAGTCACTTGATGGTGTAGATCTTGCAAAGTTCGGGTGTGTTTGTTCAGAATTTAGAAATTTGGCATCAGATGAATGTTTGTGGAAGCAAAAGTTTCTCTTGGAGTTCAGTGACAAGGTGAAGGAGCGTGCGGAAGGAGAGAGCCTCTGGAAGCACCAGTTTGCTGAGGCCTGGAGAGAGAAGAAGTTCCATTCGAGGATATTAGTAGTTCCCACAGCGGCAAGGTGCAATCCTTTGTATTCAAAGAAGTACTGTAAATTCGTGTTGAAGAATCTGTGAGCACTTCTACCATCTATATAGTCAAACACTATGTCTACTTGGTGGTGTTGATTTATTTTTATCCATCCATCTGTCTTTCTATCTAAATAGTTAAATATGGTGCCTATATACGTAGTTTCTTATTTATTCTATGGTTATCTTGAAGATTTTTGCTTCTTGTTGTATGGCTTAATTTAAGTTGGATTGTTTTTCATGACTTAATATAGTTTTTACTTATTATTAATTTAAGTTGTTTATTGTCATATTGTTGTTGTATGAATTGTGTGTTATCATCTAATGCATTTGTACAACTAGATGGATTGTATTTCTAAGATATCAGTGGTTGCATATGCATATTACTTGGTAAAAATCTGTTTAAGAGACATTTTTTTTTATAGTAAAATTGTTCAAAGGTTGAGTTTTTCTTTTGAATAATGAAAAAGTTGAAGATCCAAGTCATGTCTTTCCCTTTATCCCACCTTATGTCAATCTCTGTGCACCATTTGTAAACATTGTTTTTTCTGCATACTATGTACGAATCTTACAAATATATATATATATGGAAATATTTCCATATTTTTATTGAGGATAAGTCGATTGAAAATTTCTCCCCCACCTCCAAATTTTAATCGCTTTGGCCATTCTTAATTATTAGTTGCCCATTTATGCGCGGAACATGTTAGGATTTAAGGCTCACCTTAGAAGGGCTATTCATTCCAGCAACATTATCTGTTTTCATCTTTTCCTTGCTGAGCTCTGGACATGGTTTGGTCACGGGGGTAATTCTTGGAAGAATGCAGGCAAAATCTATCATTCGATCTTCTGCAAAATCTATTATTAATTCCTAACCTCGATTATTTGATGCTATGCAAATCTCTTTGCACTCCACATTTGAAATATTATTTCCTAACGAGTTATAAAGATTTTGGTCTAACCTTCCTTCCATTGATTCTTTTTTGTTCTTTTTTGCTTTTCATCTCCTCCGTTTTCAGGAAGTCCTTTTATAATAAACCGCCCTTATGACTATACTAATTCGAACGGTAAAAGTCGATCAAGTCCCTTGTAGGAATCCAATGGCCCTTTTGAACCTGATTTTACCAGTCCCTTGTAGGAATTTACTTCTTCATGAACTATTTGGTCATTCAAGCAGACATCTTAATTATTCGTGGACTACAAAGTTGTTTCAATACTCTATTATGCTAGAGCATGTATAGTTCCTCATCTGGGTCGCTGATCCTTCTCTTAAACAGTTGATTCAATAATTTCAAAAGGTCAAATGTACACATATTGACGCTACCTGTCCGATCTGTCATTTAATACACATCATTAGTAATTTAGCATACTGCATATCTTAAATTTATGGACATTCTTCTTAATATGGTATATGTAGTTAGGTAGATGTTGAAAATTTGATAGCATCATAGGAGTACTTTACCTAATGAAAGAAGGGAGATACATACTCTTTGGAAGGATTATTTAAAAATGACAAATACTTTGCTTCTATCCTATCCTCCTGATAGGTGATTTTTACCAATGAAAGTACGACACCTGTGAAAAAGTACCACCGGACTACCGCCCTTGGTAATTTATTTCATTCTTCCAAGTTATTTGATTTGGCCCAAATCGTGCATAACTGGCTAAGTAATTATACACATTAGAAAATTGTGTAATCTTCCAAATGTAATTGAAATAAGATACAATACTTAATGATATTATAATGTATTTGTCTATAATGATATACAATCCTCTTTTTTTTTTTTTTTTTTTTTTTTTGGGGTGTGTGTGTGTGTCAAATAGTAAGAAAAATATAAGAAACAATTAATTAAGAGACATTTATTTGAAATTTTGATAGCAGCATCGTAGGAGTACTTTACCTAATGAAAGAAGGGAGATACATACTCTTTGGAAGGATTATTTAAAAATGACAAATCCTTTGCTTCTATCCTATCCTCTTGGTAGGTGATTTTAACCAATGAAAGTACAACACCTGTGAAAAAATACGACCGGACTACCACCCTTGGTAATTTATTTCATTCTTCCAAGTTATTTGATTTAGCCCAGATCGTGCATAACTGGCTAAGTAATTAAACACATTAGAAAATTGTGTAATCTTCCAAATGTAATTGAAATAAGATACAATACTTAGTGATATCATAATGTATTTGTCTATAATGATATACAATCCTCTTTTTTTTTTTTTTTTTTCTTGGTGTGTGTGTGTATCAAATAGTAAGAAAAATATAAGAAACAATTAATTAAGAGACATTTATTTACATTTCCGGTGGCAACATTAAGTTTCTTAGGCTTAAATCTAACCATAAATTTTGGTCGCGTTGATTTATTTTTATCCATCTTTCTATCTAAATAGTTAAACATGATGTCTATATATGTAGTTTCTTATTTATTCTATGGTTATCTTGAAGATATTTGCTTGTTCTATGGCTTAATTTAGGTGGGATTACTTATTTTGGCTTAATATATTTATTACTTATTTTTAATTTATGTTGCTTATGGTCATTTTGTGGTTGCATGAATTGTTTGTGTTATCCTCTAATGCATTTGTACAACTAGATGGATTGTAATTTTAAGCTCAATGGTTGCATATGTATGACACAGTTTAAATGGCGTTAAAAATCTCACGATATACAGAACTTTGAAAATGCCACGACAGCCACTTCGAAATAACACGTGACTTCGTCTTGCATGTCAGTTTGATAAATGCCTTTACCAGACGAGGACGCGTTTTAGACACACTCTCTCTCTCTCTCTCTCCAGTCTCCACCTAAGTAGCTTCTTTGCTTTCATTGCTGAAACTGATTTTCTCTATCTACACCACCGCTTCTCTCTGTGTCTTCCCATTTTCAAAGCCTAGTCTTATCTCTCTAGGATCCAACCGATCAAAGCGCACAGGCATTTGCTTTCTACCAAAATCGCAGGTACACTCTCCATTTCTTCTTCTTCTTCTCCTCCTACTCCTCTCAAAATTAGTCTCTCTCTCTCTCTCTCTCTCTCTCTCTCTCTCTCTCTTCCCTCTTTGTCTGTCTTCTTCGCTGACAGTTGCGTCTCTCTACCTCTTTTTCTCTCTCTATTGTATATGTAAATAGACATTAAAATATGTAGCAACCCTTATTACATACTTATATATGAAGAACTAACTGGTGTTTTATATGTTTATGTGTGTGTATTAAATTAGTTTTTCAATTGAATTCAATTAAATTATTCTTCCTATTGATGTGTTTTGTTAATTATTATTCTTTTTCTCCTTTAAATAACAGAACAGAACAATTCTGTTTAGGTTCTCAGCTCTCTCACCGTTTTTTTTCCAGTAGTACATTCTTTAATTACAAAACAATTCTGTTGTAATTCCTTTTCTTTTATTGTTGTGGTGGTGGTGGTGGTGAGCTGAATTCTTTTAGCAATTCTTTAATTACAAAACAATTCTGTTCCAATTCCTTTGCTTTTGTTGTTGTGGTGGTGGTGGTGGTTTTTAGATGAATTCTCTTTGCATCTCTGTGTTCACATTATATAAGTTTGCTGCAATGTAACAGTCTGTTGCATATTTGCAATGTCATACTGTTGTATTCTTATTGTGTTGTGCTCATAATTTTTGTGCTTATAGTGGAAGGAGGATAAATCTGATGCGTATTTAAATTATACTGAAAATTTGAATTATTATGATAATTTATTGTGTAACACTGTTGCAAACTAATTCATTAATGCTTTTCCTAATATTTTAAATAATGTTACATTTTCTTTTAGATGTTGAATTAGCTTATTTTATTCCTAATAATTTGATACAGGGGTTTTTGCCAATGATGATTAGATTTTTCTGTAGAACTTTGGATTTGGAGTTTAATCTATTTCTCTCTCTTTTTCTTTTTCTTTTTTTGTACAGGAAGCGTCATGGGTGATCCAAAGCTCCTAGTGGTTTCCATTGATGGCACTGTGCCAAGGTTTAGCTTTGCCAGAAAGGGTGGTCTGGTCACGTGGGAGACGATCATCAAAGATATAATCAATACAAATTATTGTTTGGCATTTGAGGTTAGAGATGGAGATGGCATTTATCATGATGCAAAAGAAGGCAATAAGGTTGCTGTTTTGAAGTTTCAGTCTTCAAGAAAAAATGCTTTTATTTACGGGTGGGGCACCAAGAACTATGATGTCAAGTATAGTGTGTGCTTTGATGAGTCCGAGCTCAACGAGGCATCTACATCTACTGCTGCAGAAGAGACTATCGAGTCTTCGACTTGCCATTTATTGTGTCTTCCTGATGAAATAAAACGGAAGATTGTTGAGTCGCTTGATGGTAAAGATCTTGCAAAGCTCGGGTGTGTGTGTTCGAAATTTAGAAACTTGACGTCCGATGAGTGTTTGTGGAAGGATAAGTTTCTCGTGGAGTTCAGTGAGAAGGTGCGGGAGCATGCTGAAGGAGGGAGCCTCTGGAAGCAGAAGTTTGTCAAGGCCTGGAGATGGAAGAAGTTCCTTTCCATGAATATAGAAGTTCCGGCAGGGGCAGCGTGCTATCCTTTGAATTCGAAGAGCTACATTGATTTCGTGTTGACGAATCTGTGAGCACTTCTACCATTCAGTGTAGTCAAACACAAATGCCTATTTTTTATGTGGTTCCTTATTTATTGTATGGTTATCTTGAAGATTTTGCTGCTGTTGTATGGCTTAATTTAAGTTGGATTACTTATTATGACTTGATGTAGTTGTTACTTATTATTAATTTAGGTTGCTTATGGTCATTTTGTGGTTGACTGAATTGTATTCTGAGATCTCAGTGGTTGCATATGTATGTTGCTCGGTAAAAATCAATTTATGGGATCCAAAATTATTTTGTGCCTATTTTATCCTTGGTAATTTCACTGCATTGCTAAATGTAAAATTGTTCCTTGAATAATAGTTTTTATTTATTTATTTTTTTAATGGTATAATTTTTCCTAGGTTGAGATTTTCTTTTAAATAATGGAAAAAATTGAAGATCCAAGTCAGGTCCTTCCCTTCATCCCTCACTATGTCCGTCCTTGTGCACAATGTGTAAGCATTGTTTTTGCACACTAGGCCTTGAAAAAGTTATTTTTTTCTTCTTAAATTAAACTCATACGTTTTTTTTCCTTCTTTCATTTTTATTTATATTTATTTATTAATTTTTTATTTATTATTTTTTTTGTCCTTAACATTGTGCTCCCTTGAAGTGAAAAACCATGGCTCCGCCTTGACGGCAATACCAAAAATTTTAAAAAATTAGACAGTGACATGACAATAAAGTAATATTATTACTATATATATATATATAGAAAATAAACTTTTGCTCAATTTCTTATATAGGAAAATATATTAAACATTTTCACTAATACAAAGTTAAAAAATATATTAAACAAGCAAAGTAGTTTAATGGAGAACCAGGACCCTCCATGTGTCTTGTGAAGTATTTGGAAGCTGCTGAAGAATCCTTCAGGGAACCAAACCTTCTTGATAGAGAGTTTGCTGGCCTTAAAAGGGCTGATCCGACCCAAATATAAAATATTTGTATAAGTTAAGTTTTCAAGAGCCTCAGGCCCAATTTTATTTTTTTTAGAGATAGCCGGTTTGGGCTTTGGACCGTTATGTAAAAAATTGGCGATTCATTTGAAAATCGCTGAGTTCATATCAATCCGGCCGGTTCGGTGGTGAATCCGGTGGAATAGTGAAGTCCTAAAACCGTTTCGAACTGGCCGGTTCGGCTAACCATGGATATAGGCCTCTCTGCTCTCGGGCTCATTAAGGCGCAACACTTGCGCCTATTGTGTGGCTAGGTGCGCTTTTGACAACATTTGCGCCTTTAATATGAAATATTAATTTTCTTTAATAGTAATTTAATTTTTCAATGGTACTCCTCGCTTCACTCAGGTCCGCTTAGACTCCAAAGAACCTCTAACGCCTTAGTGTGTCCTGGGACTTTGATAATGTACACTGTGCATAACTCACTAACTATATACATTAGAAAAATGAGTAATCTTCCAGAGGTAATTGAAAAAAAAAAACATACAAGGCTTTTTGATGTTGTAAGAAATCAATGACAGTATTTCGGCCTTAGCACTTGAAGTCATGGTTCTCCTACACCTTACTCTCTCCCCTGGTCTTGAAGCGAGTCCGAGTATGTCATGCAATGAAGCTAGCTTCTGTTGGTGATGGTTTTTGTGGAAAATGAAAGTGTCATTCTCCTTGTGTATTTCCTTTTGAAATATACCGTGCCTTGTCTTGAGTGTGAATGGAAAATGAAAGGTGCTGAATATGATCTGCTTCCCTTTGGAAAAATAAAAGACTAAAGTCTAACAACAATTGAGTATCCTACTTTGAACATAGACAATATATTTTCTGGTGATTAAAAAAAGATTGAAACTTATTAGTTATATTACCTTTCATGCACTTATATCACCCTGAACATAGACGATAGCAGAACATTCTAAAAAATTGAACATTAGAGTCTTGTCTAATAGATGCATCTGGTTTCATTGAAACATTTGATTTTCAGTTTCTAGTTGTCACATAAATTCAAAAAATTGCCCAACATTCCCCTTCAATGGAAGAAATGAGAATACATATCTCCGTCGCTATCTACTGCGGAAGGTAGTTAAGATAAAAGCTTCAAGCATAAGCCAGCTTGATATTTATTATAGAGGAGGAGCTCTATAATATGCTGGAATGGTTGCAGGGAAGAACACTTGTCTAACTCCTTCAGCCTCTATGATGGGAAAAATGATACCCGATGCACCCTGAAAATACAAAGTTGCCCATGAAAACTCTATATATAGTTCAATCAAGAAATAAAAAAAAATGAACTTTCAGTTAACGCATCTTCAGTATCTATGCTCAAAAATTAACAGTAGTCTATATGGATCACAACAGAGGTGAAATTAAGGCATAGTACGTAAGAGAAGATAGCGTGTTTTGTATTTCATAAACCATAAGGAAGAGCACATGCTACCTACCAAAATCAATCTGGCTCCAATATACATGCGTCTAGGTGAAGGAAAAGGTAGCAACAGACGACCAACACCATATAAAGCCACAAAAAAGAAATGGAGAACTAAGCTTAGCGGGCGAGGGTTTAGACCAGAGAGCAGAGCCACAGGTCCAGTCGAACAAACACCTCCAAGGCTCAGATAGTCAAAACATGCTTGGCGCATTTCCTTACTTGCTTGATCAGAGGATGCACAGAACACTTTGTATAGGGCTCCTGCCAAAGTATTTATTGTGGATGCCACTGGCTGCGAAAAAGCAAAACATAATAATTAGATACCATGTTAGGTGTGGCGGGGTTGCCCGAGTGATAAAGCGTAAGGCCTTAAGTGCCCCCCCACCTTGTAATCCTATGTTGATAAAGAATGAAAAATAACGTCTCTAATACACAATGCATTTTCATTTCAATAATTTTTTTGGGCAGTTAAAGAAAATAAAATTGGCACTCTTGGAAAAGCCTTAGTCACTCCAGTTCATAATATATGTGGGAACAAGAAATGGAGGTCAGAATCTATTGGAGCATTAATATCAACCCCCACCCCAAACCACTTGAAAAAATCGAATCTTGAAGTTTTATAATGTCTATATATTATGACTATTGTATTCTCCTTTCACATAATTAGTTTTGCTTTCGAACTTCTAGTGTTTTCACGTTAAAATAACACCACCAGGATATGAATTTAGCTTACCTTGCGCAAGGTGTAAAATGATTCAAGATACGTGCACAGAGAATCTGCATCACTCAGGTCATGCAGCGGCTTAAGAAGATTTCGCAATACAACAATATCAGAAAGTGCGACAGTCATTCCTCCACCAGTCAAAGGATGACGCATGTTGAAAGCATCACCCATTAAAAGGGCTCCAGGGGTAGGAAGGGGAGCAGCCGGCATACTTCTATTCGGCATTGTTTTAATATTTCCTTTATCAATTGCAGCTATAAAAGCATCGTGCACCTCAGCTGGTATCTAATACAAGCGCCATATTCAATTAATCCAAGGTAATAGACAAAAATGAGATGGCGAAATGAAATTTTAAGTAAATAATAACCACAATAATAGGGCATATATGATATTTCAAAAACCTTAAAATTGTGTAGTATAGGTACCTGGGGAGCCACTGTGGTTTTCAAATAGTTGGCCATTTCACCGTTACCAATAGAAGGTAGCTTTTGACCAGGTACATCAACCAAACAGCGAATCTCAGTAGTACTGATTTGATAAAATAAGATGGGTGACGGATCTGCTAAAATAACATGCCCATGTTTTGGAAATGGAAGTTGGCAATTCTCAAGGATCAAAGCAACAAAGCAAGACGGCACATCCACCTGTGGAACTCAAAAAATAAATGGGTCAACATTTTTACTTGACTATAAATGTTATCCATATGAATGTTTACTAGATTAGTGACGGAGGAAGAAAGTTTGAACAACAGGCAAAGAATTCAGAGTTGTACGTACTTTAGGGTTGCAAAGAGAGCGTCGCAAATTTGAAAAGCAGCCATCGCAAACAATCGTAAGAGGAGCATACGCTCTAACCTCCTGACCTGTTTTAGTTTTGTACCGTATTCCCTTAACAGCTCCGTTTTCTTCGAGCAGAGATGTCACTGTTCCTTGCTCAAGAAGTACACTAAATATAGAGAATTGCATGTCAAAAAGAGAAAATGGAACCAAAAACAAGTAACATCATAAAATTATAATTAGGGGAAACTCACTGAGAAAAGAAATGTCCAAAGGAAAAGGAAAAAATTACACTTACTTGGGAAGTGTAGCAGCTTTTTCCCTCATCCTCTGTATGAAGCGCCCGTTGTGGAAGCTTCTCCCAGCCACATCAGAATGAAATTTGTCGAGGGGATATGACAGTTTAGTACTTCTGCCATCTTTAAAAAGAGCATATCCAAATACTGGCTGGGCATCAATTTCCTCCACACAATCTGTAGTTGAAGTGGATGCTTGTGTTTTATATATATTTCACAGCCAAATCAAAAATGTCTCTAGATAAAGAAGAGCAGGACCAATTGCCAATTAAGTTTAATAGGAGCTAGGCTGTAATAAACTCTAAAATGCATGAATACCTTCAAGGCCCAATTCAGTGAGCTTCAAGTATCCACCTGGTTGTAGCAGTTCACCAACAATTCTGTCAGGCTCTGTCAAATCTCTCTCAATCACATGAACTCGTCGTCCGTCCTGAGTGCAACAAGTAGCCGAAAAAAAAATAAAAAATTACAAGAATATTGTAGTAAATTGAATTGAAGGGCTTTTAGATATATAGAGAACTACTACAGAAACCTGTCTGTGTCATCTCGAAATTGTTCTATATATACAAGTTGTCAACTAAAGAAGAAAATTTCTAAACTATACTAATCAAGAAAATTTAGTCGATCCAACTATTTTCCGAGCAAACAAACAGTTGGAAAAGGTAGAAATTAATCTCACCTTTCCGAGGGTGTGAGCGAGTGCGGCACCGGCAACCCCAGCTCCGACAATGATGACGTCAGATTTGTCCGGGCAGAATTCTCTGCTGTTGTCCCGGATCTCAAACGCAGTGCTAGTAGCTTTCTTTTGGCGATTTCTCTTGGTCCTGTCTCGCAAAATATGGAGAAGAACAAAGACTAACAGAGAGACGAAGAAAGTCATCGCCAGAATCATCATCCTTTTCCCTCTCTACCCCTCTGAAATTGCAATTGCAAATGTGGGTA